TGCCTGTGCCGCAGTTCTTGAATCTGTTCCTCGAGTCGATGGATGCGTGAGTCCACCTGCCAAGTCACAGGTTCTTCCGCTAGTGCTTAGCGCTCCGCTCCCCTTACGATCACACCACTAGCAAAACAAGGCATAAGCAGACATCTGCCGTACACATGCACTCCAGCTCCCAGGCTTCAAAGCAAAACTTGCCGGGATCTCGGCCATCTCTCTGCCGACAGGCAGTAGCGGAGATCCCATACGCACACCTTCCTTGCAGCAAATTGTCAATACGTGCTCCACTGCTTCACACCACTTCGAAGCCTCCATCGACGACACTGCAGAAGGATCACCTGGAAAGATTCACTGATGCCGGCCTTCTTAAATCGAGAACCTCTCCTCATAGAAACATCTATGTTCTTTTTATGTTTACTTACGCCTCTGCCTGTGCAAGTTCCTGCGTTCTGTCTGAAGATGGCTGTGGACAAAGCTTGTCCAGGATGCTCCTTTTTCGAACCTAGGAAGATTGAGACCCGCACGGTTGTGGACACGGGACAAGTCGAAACGTACTACGAGGAATTTTCCTGCGGCGTTGAGAGTGGCTTGATTCTATCTGCTTATGGCCGGGCACTTTCGCATCGAAGTGTTTGTCTTCCGAGGCCTTCTGGCCCATCTGATTCTGAAGCAGGATGCTTTCGAAAAGCTACAGGTAGTGATTGCATGGAGACACGAGGATTGCTTGAAGTTCCACAGACTCAAGAGCCTGAAACAAGGCAAGGTCATACTGCTAAGGAGAAGCATGCAGGAGGTATCACTCAACGCCACTAAGAGTTGCTAGTCCGGCCGGTCCAAGGCCCTGGAGGGACCTGCGAGCTGACGATGAACAAAGCCGTGAGATGGCACCTTGTGCCTCCACAAAAGCAAAAGGCCACAAGGCTTCTGTTGTCTGCTCCTGCACCGGCCTCCTCTTCGTCTGATAGTTTGTAAAAGCACCTGCGCAATCAACGCCGGACGCGCCCCAACTCGACGTGCAAGAATGCGAGGTTGATGCAAGGAGCTGTCAAGCTGGAGGTACTTGTCCGAGGACATCTGCGGCACCTGAAGCATGAACTAACAACATAGCTGCAACGCTTCCAAACAATCCTCTGCAGGCTTTCCCCTCCTGGGCGAAGCTGTTCCTTCGCAGGAACTGGCGCATTTGCAGCAGCAAGTCCTGCGGTCTGCTAGACCAAGCTCCCTAAAATCATCTTCCCAAGGCTTCCTACGGCACACTCCTCGCAGGAGACGGTGGGGCTCACGACATGTCGGAAAGCAGTGGTCATGGCCCCTGCTGCCTGCGAGCTGTGCAAACTTCACAAGCGAACCGAAGCTGAAGATTCCAAGCCACCATCTGCCTTGTGGGCAGAGCTTCCCGACCTCTGCGAGATCAAACGGGGAGTCTGAAGCTACAGGCGTGTTTAGGAAGTGCGTATGCCTAATGCTTGTACCCAATACGAGGTGCAAATACCGCAAAAGAATTGGGCCCCTCATGGTCTTTGATGATATGCTGCTATACTCTCACCTATGCTGCAGTGTAATTGAGTGTCCAGCTTTATGGTAGCAGTTCTTGTTGCTCGAGGTGTCATATCAAATCATATTGAGTCAAGTAATTGCTCTTGATGTATACTATGAATTACATTCTACTTGATAACTAAGCAATTTTCAAGCAATGTTTCACAGGCACGTGTTTGACATTTGGTTTTCGCACAGCAGTCAACCAACACTCCGTGGCTACATGTTTAAAGCATATGTAACTAACTGGTATGCAGCCAGCGTTGACTCAAGAATTTGTTTAGGCTATATTTGAAGCGGTATTTCCTGTCGAACATTTAGGACTATTTTCCGCGCGAATTCTTAAATGCAATACCGAGACTTCGTACGACATGTTAGTCTTGAGTGAGTTTTTGCGTGTTCTATTGGTACTTGATTCTCAATGAAGCTATTGTTCCTCAATTTTTCCAGAATTTAACCAGTATCTAATCCAGTAGTATTGCATTGACTACACGAGCCAAACAGCGCATCAACTGCTGACGAATGTAAGAGTGTTCAGCACATGCTCATCAAATGGCATTCAGCTAGATGCAGTTTACGGTCAAGGCAATAATTAGGAAAAGGCCACTGCTGTTGAGGACAGCAACAAAATAAAGCAAGAAACAGAAAGAGTGGGCACTCAGTAAGTAACACTGTCCGAAGTACGAGAATCGCAAGTGAATGACCACGGAGATGTGCAAGAAAAAACATTACGAAGATAAGACAACCGGAATGCGGTGAACAACACAACACCCCTCTCTGCGAAGTTTCGCATTACCGGGGAGCAGGCTGAATGTCGGCACTGGTTTGGTCGTCTTTACAGCCAGAGATCATGACAACCTGCCCACTTCGCATAAACAGCAATGTAGCCGGTAATTGGGAGTTTCCGAAAATAAGGGGTACCTTATTTAGGGGTCATGATCCTACTATTTAGGGTACTGTAATAGGGTCCCCTATTTTCGGAAACCCCCAATTAACTGTTATGAGTGACTTTCGGTGCCTCGCCGTTCGCAGGTGCGGCTGGCCGACCACTTGGACGTCGGTGACGACTCCTGCAGATTGGACCATGGCAGGAGGGTAAGGCTGAACCGACTCAGGCGTGGAGGCAGCTTTCGGCATAGTCACTGCTAAGCGCCTCATCTTCGTGCATCGCAGCCTTTTCGAATCCTCAGCGGGTGATGATTAAGATCTAAAAGCTGGACTTCAGGAACCACTGCGCTGGATGTCTTCCCATCCTCCAAGTGGAGCAGGATACCACAGACTCCATAAAACAAACTCATAGGAGGTCTTTACGAAGGCAAAATAGCGGTGGCTCCACCGAAAGATTCCCGCGGACTCGAAGGTACGCGATGCGAGGATGGGGGATGACTCCCCCGACTGTCAATTCTTTTCACTCGCGGTTCTGTGAGTCTTTGTCGAAGCGATGTCAAGCCGGCTCCATCAGCACAAATCGAGCATGACAGAAACAGCTACCTATAATGGTATTGCGGTATTACGATGAACACACCTGTCTGTTCAAATTGGTCTCGGTAGTAGTGGCAGTAGTAGTATTTGTAATAGTAGTGGTAGTAGTAGTAGTAGTAGTAGTAGCAGTAGTAGTAGTAGTAGTAGTAGTAGTAGTGGCAGCAGTAGCTGCAGTAGCCATAGTAGAAGGCACCCCCCACACGGACCAACTACACCGGCTCTTAACCATGTTAAGACAGCATCCATTGTGCTCGGTGTGTACTGCACTATCGTCATAGGATCATCCTATGAAGCCTCAAATTCGACTTGTCGAGTTTGCAAACTCGAGCTTCGGATTTTGGGCTTGTTTTTAGGGTGCGGGGTGGGGGAGAGTGATGACGACTTTGCTACGCAGACACCCCGAAAAATATCTCCAGAAGAGCCGTTGTACTCGGTATTTGCAGTACTGTAGTGATGGATTTCGGAGGGCATGCGGCGAAAACAAAAAATTAGGTGGTGGGAAGCTTTTACAGGGACTGTTTCGCGCACACACCACCACCCCCACCTTCCCCCCTCCCTCAAAACAACTATCAAGTCAAGTCCAAAATCCGAAGAAACTCGACAGGTCGAATTTGAGGCTTCAAAGGATGATCCTACATGACGAAAGTGCTGGAGATACCGAGTAAAGTGGATGTTGCCTTAACAAGGTGAAGCTAGTAGTAGTAGTGGTAGTAGTAGTAGTAGTAGTAGTAGTAGCAGTAGTAGTAGTAGTAGTAGTAGTTCTAGCAAGTAACTAACAGTAGAGTGGGCCGACATAGTGGAACCACTAAGGGGGGCGAGATGACAGGTCATCTTGACCATCTTGCTTTGGGCGTTTTGCCTGGTTGCGGGGGGCTCGGTTTGGTGATCTTGGTAATCTCGCACCACTTGCACCACTTGGCAGGGGGCAAGATGACCGGTCATTTTGGAGATCTTGGTCATCTTGATAAACTTTGTGACCAAGATTACCAAGATCTCCAAAATCACCGGTCATCTTGCCCCCACAAGTTGCGCAAGTGGTGCGAGTGTCGGTGCAAGCGGCGCAAGTCGTGCAATATCTTCAAGATTACCAAGATCACCAACATTGCGTACAGGATCCGCCCCGTAAATCCAAAAAAACAAAATTACAAGATGACCCCGTAAATCCAAAAAAACAAAATTACCAAGATGACCAAGCTGACCGGCAAATGAGTAGTAGTAGTAGTAGTAGCAGCAGCAGCAGCAGCAGCAGCAATAGTGGTAGTAGTAGTATTTGTAGTAGTAGTGGTGGTGGTAGTAGTAGTAGTAGCAGAAGTAATACTAGTAGTAGTAGTAGTAGTAGTAGTAGTAGTAGTAGTAGTGGTAGTAGTAGTAGTGGTAGTAGTAGTAGTAGTAGTAGTAGCAGTAGCAGCATACAAAGGCGAGGAATCTTGATTGCCGTGCACAGGCTAGCCGTCGGCCTCCTTCAATTATGTCGAGCGACAACAGTACTAATAGTCCAGCACGTGTGGCTGAACAATCAACTACCAGCAGCACTAACCACTAATCGAGTCGATCGCACCAACCCATTTGGCTGAACGGTTTCGCACCCTAAACCCGAACATGCCAGCAATAGTCCCCGATTGTGGACGAAACTTCATGCACACGGCAGGAAGCAGAAAAACAGCTGAAGGGCTCAGTGCTCTTCGCAGTCGAACGTCCAGAGTGTTCCACATTCATCTTCACACTAAGGCGAGCGCTGCAGAAGCGGTCACCTAACACGTCATCATACGGTCAGTGACATCGCGGCAAGCCCTGTGCGGCCTTGAACGCAAGGTCCAGCGCTGTCCCACTGTGGCAACAATCGAAGAGCACCCACAGGCGGCAGCCCTCAGGAACTACAAAGCTGGAAGCACAATGGCATTGACATGAAAAAGCAACATTGGTCATAATCGAACTACAAAGGTCACGCCTCCGGCAAATGCTCGACCAGCAAGCTGTGAAGTTCATCGTCACTGATCTGCCCTCAGGCCATAGGCTAAGGCATTCGACATGTCACGCTGACGTCGCAAGTCATCGCTGGATCCTGCAGTCTGGAAGTCGCACGGGATCAAGGTATCATCCTGCAGACAAGGCCGAGCACAGTTGAGTCTTGAACAATCTTGAACACGTAGTCAGCCAGCTAAGCACGCACCTGGCCGGTGATTTCATCTCCACTCCGATCGGCAGCGCGGCCGCCGTGACCTCAAAGCAGTTGACATGAGTCCAATCAACTCCCGGGGGTACCTTTTCACCCTTAAAGAAAGGCGCAGGCCGCTGTAGTGCAGAAACAGCTCGTCTCCGCTTCCGACTCCCTGCTTCCGCAAACCCCATAGCAAGTCTCTACGAAACTTGCGCCGGACCAGCCTGTGTCAGCCAACGCATGGCAGAGAGCATGTTGGCCTCTGGCAAACGAAAGCAGCAAAGATTACCTTGGCGCATGGCGCATGCTCTTAGACTCTACTGTAAGGGCCTTGGTCGGCATCATGTTCGTGCGGTCATCCCGCAGTCGACAGATCTGGCCATCCTCGAACTTGAAGGTCTCCTCAGGGGCGGAGGCGCTGGGCTCTCTCCCGTTCAGCGAAGGACTCTCCACCCACTGGACTTGTCCCCATGGCTCCTTCAAGACAGCGATCATGGTCTCGGAATCGTTGATGCAGCCTGACAATCGTCCTTGACCTCCACGAGCTGAGCACCCAACAGAACCACGGCGCTGAGCACATGAAGCCCCCTCTTAAAGATCAATTTGGCTGCCCGCCTGGGGTCAACGAAAAGTAGTTAATGCCTTGAGCACAGAAGATGGGCGACACAGGCAGTCACACCATGCTTGCTCAGCACAGCACCAATAGTCAACGCGCGGCGCTGTGTACTTCGAAGCCTTGCAAGGTCGCGTTCCATGAAGTCACTCACCGGGGCATGGCTGAGAGCAGCACGGTGCAGGGGGCTGTGCAACAGGAGGGTCTGCCTCCGCAACACGATTAAACTCCCAGTGCCAGCCTTGCACTACTCAAGCAGTTTAACACATCAAGACAGTCGCTCTCACATGTTATCACGATGTTATCACGTGTTGTCAACTGGCAAGGCGGAGCCTCGGGCAGGAATGGCTCCTCAAAGTTCAAATGGAACTCCATGCACAGCTGAGGCACCTGCACAAATCTGCACAGTGCACTGCCGTGTCAGCATTCTTGGGACAACTCATCTTCCGAGGCACCAGGGGCGATCTGGATACCAAATTCGCAGAGACATCACACCCTGCCCTTGGAGACCGCTCCTCAAACGCACCCCCCCCCCCCCCCCCCCCGCGCCACTCCTACACACCCCAAATTGGCCTCTCTCTCACATTGTACTGATTGTGCTGTAGGACTGAGAGATGTGGGCGAAAGGGCGAAGCTTCCGCGGGACCTTCTCTCTGAGCATGTCTCTGAGTTCTCTGAGAAATCGAAGCCACGCCCCTCGTAAGCTCCGAAGCGACACTTCCCATTGCACTAGGCCCTAGGGTCGGATGCCTGATCAAAATTATGCTGCTTGAGAAAGCTCCGCATCTCAAGCAGAAGGTGGTGATACCTGACATGGTCGGAATTGGGATAACATGCTGTGGTACATTGTCCGAGCATGGCGCGAGATGTCTCTCTTCTTCGAAATCACCTTTCTGAAAGCCGTGGTCATCGCACCTTCCACAGAATTGACCCGGATTCGTGGCAAAACGAGATGCATAAAATCCCGTGCGCCTGCGGCCTTGTTTCCAGCGACTCCCCCTGAGATGTCAGCGCTCGTCTGGACGTCTCTACAGCCTGTGCCCACGCGGAGACTGTTCATCGTCGGGTTGAGACCCGGCGAAATCCGGCGGTCCAAGCGCCAGGGAACATGACTCATGACAGTCCCCACTGCCTGACAGCAGCACAACTTCGGCTCCTGTCGGATGCCTCCGCCTGGAGTTCAGCAAACCGCACATCATGTATGCGGCGGCATGAAGAAGTCGGGTCGGCAGGGAACAACTGCAAGCTAGTAGGGATTGAACGACAGCGATTTGGCAGAAGACGTGGGCAATCTCTCCAGAATGCGCGCGAGACAGAGGTGACATGATAGCTCATAGAAGCATGAACTCCCTTGAAAAAGTGCACAAGCAACTATAGTATTGCATCTTCGTAGCTGTATCGTAGTCGATGCACTCAACCGACGGAGGGTTGCAGGGAAGAACTTATCCCGCGAGGATGCAGCATGTCGATGACAGGAAATGATAGACTGGGAAGCACAATTTAGTGTAATGATTTGGTCTCAAATAGATTCAGATCTGTCACTGCCGACCCTGACGCTCCAAGCGAACTGCAAATGCTCTCGTGGAGAAGCTGGAACGGAAGTCGAGACGACTGCATCCTTCCCCAGGTGCTTCTGCTCACAGCGCAGCTGCCAATATTGGCATCGATCCCTCGAGAGTGTTGTAAGTTATAAGCTTGTTCCAAGCCAAGCTGTAAGTGACGGGATATGCAAGACAGATCGTTTCAGCTATCCCCGCAGCCTGCTCGAGACTGCCCGGATCGTCAGAGAGCCGTCGTGCAGAACTCTGGCCTTATCTCTTCGCAGCTATTCTGGGCTCCCAGACAAGCCCCACTAGCTTCGTGCCTTGTAACTCAGGTCCATTCCTGTCCCGCTGTGACCTCGAAAGCCGAACTGATGAGTGCAGTGTGAGCAAAGGCCGACATTGACTGACATGGGCTTCAAGTCCGCCAAGCGGCAGCAGTCCATGATCACTGTCAGGCGGCAACTCTTTGGCAGCCCGTCGACAAGCATTCTCCTGCGAGGGCTGAAGCTATGCTTGCAGTTCTGGATCCATCGGCACAAACGGGTCATGGCTTCCTGAGCTCATCATCAGCGATCATGCCAGACCTGTTGAAGTCGCAAGGCACGATGGTTTCGTCCTCTGCAGCCAACGAAGGATTTCGCTGTACGGGCTATTCTGCATTGCGTGAATGGATGTCAGTGGAGCAAGGCTGCAACGGCTGCAAACACCAACTAAGCACCAGGCTTTGCCATCTGCCTCGTCGCCACTGGAATCACGTCTTTGAGACCCGTGGCCGCTGTAGTGGAACAAGAGATGGTCTCCTGGCGCTGTACCGCTGTACTGGGAAGATGCAAATACCTAAGGCGCCTTGGCCTGCTTGGGTCACCAGGTTGAGTCAAGGGTTGTACGGGGATGCGGTGGTTCCCGATGGGTCTTGCTCTCAGTACGCGCTACAAGCGGACAGCGATGGTAGATGGAGGCAAGACTCCTAGGAGGCACCATCACATTCGACGTTGGCAGGCCCAAGCGTATGACGGCTCATGGCCGTGTGAACCCCACACAAGTTGATTGACTTGCCCATCCCTCCTGGGCATTCGTCATCTACTCTGTTCAACATGGCATCTCTCTGGCGGGTGCATGGACAATGCCTGCAGCAGCACCTTTCACCAGCCACTGCAAGGCAGCGGATATGTTCCTTGGTGACACGTGGGCAAATATCACAGCTCACTGGGCCAACAGCCTGTGCTTCTGCAGCTTTGGAGCTTTCTTGTCGGCATCCGCTGCCTGACGAGTGGCAGCCGTACTGGTCAAGCTCGCTTCGTTGAACCCAGCTGACTCACTGAAAATAAAATGCTCCCAAGATCTCCCAAGGTTGGATCTCACCCGCATGCTCTCTGGAGCACGTAGCAAAAGCCATCAGCAAGCCACGAAAGGTCATCCTATGGTCCACAGCTGAGGTCTCTGCGGATGGTCGTCTCGGAGCTGGCGGATGTCCGACACGCTAAAGCCGAAGTCCTGCGAGAGCGACTGCAGGCTCCAGGATGCAAACATGCAGTTCTGTGAAGCCTCGGTGAGGAGCGTGATGAAGGTGTCGGAGTCGTTGATGCAACCACGGAGCTCGTTCTCACAGTGTCCGTGGCAGGGGACAGGAGTCGTCTGTCCCTCTCTTTGCTTGCTGTGGGGTTCAGAGGAGCTTGCTCCATCGCCCTTGTCCGCCCCCGACTGCTTTGGGGCAGGGGGGAAATCGCTCTGGGCTGTGTGGGCGAGAGTTAAGACTGAAGTGCACAATCATAGGGCTCAGATTACAAGTGAAGTCTCAAGCTAAGCAGGATTAATTCGGGGTTGGCTAGCGACCCTCAGGCGATAGTCCCGCCCAACCACCCCCTGTGGGCGGCAGCCGCTTGGTGGGCTCCGTGTGTCTGAGTTGCCCCCGAACACTAATCACTAATCAACGAGTCTGGAACTCTCTCTCACGCGTCTTTTGGCATCCTTGCCTCGGTGCCGATGTAGTTTACCCCGACGGTTACAGCCCGCCTGCAGGCACCACGGCACATCGCGTGGCCGCGTTCAATCAAAGACCCCCTGCACTCGCCTCTGCCCAGCCACGTGAAGTTTTACTCCAGTTTCGGGCTTGGCCGGCGAAGACTGCGGCGACGGCGCAGCCTCCGCATGCGGCTTGTGTGCTCTAACACAGCCGGAACCCATGGACCCCGCGATCTGCGATCCTGGTGGCTGGGGGATGCCACCATCTGTCCAGCTTGACCGCTGGAGATTTGCACGTGCTGACCATGCTGAGGTGCCATTGGTGCCATGCCAAGGCCTCTCAAAGTACAATCATCAGGCACAAACTCAACCGGAACTCTCCAAGCCTGAAAGGTGATATGCGTAGCCGCTGTACGGTTGGTACAGTTGCTGAAACCTGAGCCGAGACACAAAACAAAGACAGATCTCCACATCTACATGTGTCCCTCGCGGCCACCAAGTGGCCCATCCGAGCTGTACATGCCATAGCTACCATAGCTGCCATCAGCACCTGAAGGCTATGAATGTCGAGTGAACCGGAAGTGAGCCGGCAAATCACGCCAGAGTCCATCCTTGACCCTACATGCCTCAAGCACAGCATTAGCTGCCCCCAGCTGTTCACGAAACTTTGACGGAAGCCTGCCTGGGGAGCCATAGCTCGCAAGAGCATAGGGCCCGTGGTGGCCGTGGGACCCATAGCTCGCAAGTTGAGAGACATAGGGTCCGTGATGACCGTACTGGTGGTGACCGCTGTAATGATGCTGTTGGTGCTGGTAGCTTCCCACTTCCCGTGGCGCCTGAACGACAAAAACACTTTGACACAGCAAGGACCAGGATCGGCTGCCGTTCTGCCTCAGGAATCTCATCCAGATGATCGCCATCCGTCTCCTGATGGCCGATTCCAGGAAAAACTGACAGTTCTTGCGCATGTGGCATGACAAACCTCTGGAGCCAGCAGACCGTCATCGTCCTCTGGGGGTGCCTGGGCGGACCAAACTCTAATCAGTCTAGTCATCTGTGCACTTGGAGCCACCTCAAGCTGGCACGACATGTCAGCGGCGCCTCAGTTGTGTCCTCGAGCGGCAGCTTGCCGAACTCCTCGGTGCGTGCAGATAGGAACGTGCAGAATGCCAACAAAAGCATGAACGTTCTGGATAGCCATGCTTCAGCCCAAAATGCTGAGGCCATGGCATCACGCTCTGGCGGTGCTAGCATTTCTTCCAACCTGTGCGGAGCGCACTTCGGCTGAACATGCTGCAACAAGAGACTGAAACAACATGCGTGCCCTGCCACTGAGTCCCAGGCAATCCGTGTGTGTCCTCAGCACTGTGAGGTCTTAGCTGCCGTATGTGGCATTAAGCAAACGGCACTATGGTCCATATGGTCCTCTGCCGGAGCTTCTGGAAGAGGAGCACCGTATTCCGAGGCAGCCACCATCTGTCATCGGCTGTCACGTGTAAACAGTGTAAACGAACTGGACTGCTCTAAGTATTCTTTGTTTCCAGCTGCCGACGTCGAAGGATCCAAGGCACGCCCTCACGGCTCGTCGAGATTCGTCCATTGTACCATCTTGTCTTGAGAGATCTTCAGAGCGAGCCGGCAACAGTTTCGGCCACGAGTAATACTTAATACCCCTTTTCTTTCTGAAGTTGAAACTTAGCCTCTCCAGGCATGTGATGCCGGAGCCGTCGGCACCTAAGCCTTCCTTTTCTGAGCATGTTGCAGGGACCTGCCGCTGCCCAATCCCTCCTTTTCCGATGCTTTTCTGAACCGGTCCAGAGCTCAAACCTGTGAACAAACTCCGCGGGGGTTTCCCATCCAAACTGCCGGGACGGCCGGAGGGGCGGGCCCGATGCAGCGACAAGCAAACTCTCGCCGAACAAGTTCATCAGCTACTGGTATCCTGCGTCTGTCGCACATCATGCTCCCCCAACGAAGCCTTGCCACCCTCGGCCGGTGCTTCTGTAGGCGGCGGCAGCTGTGCTGAGAGTTTGCCCACGGACACCTGCGAACGAACTCTCCGAAATGCAGCAAAACATCATAGCCTAAGGTTAGCATCGCCGTCGCTTGATTTCGCTTATTTCGGCCTCGCCCGAGCCGGCACCGACACGTCCTGGAGCGAACGAAACGGCGGGAGTTTTGGGCCGGACGATGCCGGGCGCCCTGCTTCCGCCAGTGGCAACCGTGGCCTCCAAGTGTCGAAACAAACTACACTTAGACTTAGACTAAAGCCTCCTACGACCTGCAGTCGGGGCCTGCGTCGCGTGGTGCACGGCTGCCGGAGCCGGAGTACCTCGTGTCACGTGCAGGTCCACCCCCTGACTCAGAGCGGCCAGTCGCCGCTGTATGCTGCAGTTGAGGGGGCACGCATAACATGCTCCACAAGCCTGTATACCTCGCACAGGCACGAATATGTCTTTTTCCGATCGCTTGATGCGTTCCGGCACCACAAAATTACGAGACCGGTAGAGGTCGAATCTGTGTCCGTAGCCTGAAGTAACGCCCAGACCAGCAATCCCGGCTTGAAACTGAAGCGTCGGGGACTCTCGGGGGAAGCTCTGGGTAGTTCAATTGTCACAAAGAAATGCCCTCATCGTTTGCAGAAGCAAGTTCGAATCACACTTCCCTTCGGGATTCCGGCCTCCAAAGATTGGGCGCCACTTCCAAGACTTTCGAAGACGCCGCGCAAGTCCGAAGCGCTGTACTGCATGCCTCGGGGCAGGCTGCACACTTACACTGGATTGCAAGGGGCAGGCTAGCTGTCATAAGCTCGGCCAGCGACCCACTTGGGACAAGGCCTACCAAGCATCCCATGATCGCAACATAAAACATCTTCAGGCTCAGTGGACTGGCTGGTGATAGCATCCACAGGCCTGCTGGAAGGCTTCCAGGGACAATTGGGAGTCCCCCGTCCTGAAAGGCACCCCCCCCCCCGGCAGGTAAGAAACGCAGCTCAATGCTCTTGAGGTCCCTGCTCCAGGTGCTTACGGAATGCATATGCCAGTCCTACCTCAGAGGTATGATGCAGGACGCCGCTGAGAGACTGTTACTGCAAGTTCTGTCAGGTGACCATTGCGAACTTGCCACGCATGTCTTCCAGAATTGTGGAGACCTCGCCAGGATGAAAAAATACGAAAAGCGGAGACTCCGAGACTCCGCGTCCACCTCGGCAAAGCCCCAATGATGCCGAAGCAAATCCTCGAAATCTCGATCGCGCTCAATGGAGGCACCCAGCATCTGGTAGTACCTCCAAGGCACATCCCCCGTACCCAGTGAGATGGTTGGAGGTTTGGGCTCACCCGACGAAGGTTGCGATGGACACCCGCGTGTTGGGGTCCAACCCTGCAGTCACTGGCATTCCCATGGATATCGGAATACACTACATGACTTCGACCGTCGCCTTGGCCGCACAGGCCGAACAGTACCTCCGAGCATCTCTGAACAGAAGCCACAACAACACTGTTGCGGTTCTGGCGCGCCATCACTGCCATGTGCCGTGCTCTGAACCGCGCCCTCTGAGTCGTGGGCTCGCTGCCGCTCGTTGTGCGGCATGTTGCTGAAGTGCTGCAATCCTGCCACCATGTCCTGTCGGTCCGAATAGAGTGATAGAGCTTCCGATAGCTACCGATAGCTACTACATACCGTCGCCCCGCGCGTGCTTCTAGCCGACCAAGCCCAGCAAAAGAGGCATGAGTGGTAGGGCGGTCTCTACCAGCAGGAAATTGCAGAAAGATGCAGGTAGAGGAGCTTCTTGTGCTGCACCGCACACTACAGAAATGAAGGCGGATGACCTATGGCCGACTTTCAAGCAAACACAAAAGCTGTCTAACCCCCAAAAAATCATAAGCGCTAAACGCCCTTAGCTCATGTGGTGTGGTCCAGGTTCCAGAAACTACTTGGGAGTATTTTCAGGTAAGACCAAACGTGGTCTTTGGGCCCTCACACATGCGTCTGGGCTTGGCTCGGATTCCTGGAAGCTGGTTTGCATCATTTTAGGGTGGGGCAGGATACGATACAAGAAATCCTTAACCCGATTCCGCGCGCGCTTTCTCACCCCCATTCCACGCCCTGAAACCTGCATTCGGGTCGACGGGGATGGTTTGACAAATGATTCGGGGCATCTTTCGGAAGCCGGAACTCTCAGTCTCCTAAGCCCCGCCCACAGCAGTGCCGGTTTAAAACCCAACAGCCAAGATCTGCAATTACCATAGATGCTACAGCACTAAACGTCCACATTCCAAAGACCCCAAGCCCGAACCAGGCTAAACCACCAACCCACAATCCGACAAACCGCACCATAGATCCTGAAAACAGCACCCGAAAAAAAGAACTTGAAAACTTGAATCCTGAAGCCAGGAAACTCTGAAAACCTCCGCCGAAGAGGCTAAATCCGCGGCTGCGAAATGCAGATTACAACTCCTTCCACTTTGACGCTGACCTGCAACCTAAACTCCACCTCGAAGTGCAATCTAAGAAGCAGACTGCGAGCACAAGAGTGCTCTTTTCGCCAATTCTAACATGCGGCAACTCTGAGCTACCCCGGCCTGCACGGTGACCCAGCCATGACCATTAACGTCCAACCGCCGGAAGGCTGCCTCGCGACACATCAACTCTGAATCCTCTCCTTGCTGCTACCGGCAAGCTGAAGTGTTGGTCTTCATTTGGGCCGGAGTTCAGCACATTGCTGCATTGCTACACGCCACATTGCTTGATCTATTGCTGTTCCGCGTGGCTGCCTGGATAAGGTCGAGCCGACGGTTGCCGGGCTCCTCAGTACAGGACACGCAAACACTGCCCACAGCCGCGTTCGCATATGCTTCGGCAATCTTCTCAGCCGGCTTGGCTTGGGGCCTTGACAGTTTTTCGTAGAAAGTCGTCCACAAAACGCAACAAGCCGACAGCAGGTAGCCAAGCACCGGCGTAACGTACTGTAGAAGGAGTACCGATAGTTCGGGAGATTTAGACTCGGCAGAGCGACAACCTGAAGCATAGCAGGAGTCCAAGTCCCGGAGTCCCGGAGCTCTGTGTGCCCAGCAGCAGACTTATTTGATCAAAATCGCGAAAGAAGCTTCGTGGTTGCTCAGCCCCAACCGACGAAGGAATTCAGGAGTGCTTGTTGACACCGCATGACAAGGTCGTCAAGAAATCATGAATGAACGGTACCGGGGGCAGCCTGTGCTGAGTGATGCGCAGACACACCAAGTCTTGAGATGGAAGACCATGAAAGCAGCCCAGGAAAGACTCGATTGGAACCACTCGCTGCTCTTCAGAGTCATTAGTTTGCAGTCCGGGCGGGTTGGAACAGCACCAAATGGTTTCGCAGGTAAAGAGATGACGACCAAGGCCAGATCTGATAAGACTCCAGAGGCACGCGGATCTCCTGTGGTCAGGCATGTCAGGCACTGCAATCTCTGAATCCCCAACGTGGTGCCAGTGCCAGGTCCTGAACCCAGAACGCCAACCTCAGGATTCGCCATGGTGACTCACGGAACGCAGGGACTGTGCTGAGGAATCTGCAGAGACGCTGGTTGCCCTCACATCCTGACAGGACTCGGAGCCCAGCTGTCACATGTGCCAACATGAAAACACGGTCCTCTCGAATGGAGGACAGTGTCGCATCAAGGGTTCCCAAGCTGCGCTGGGACATACCTCAACCGCTTAAGACGAGGCCAGGTGCAGCGCAGTGGCGCGGTAGTCTGCGAGCGTTGGGGTGCCAAGTACGCGCGGCGCACCGCAGGGGACCGGTGATCTGGATTCCACCTCCGCAAAGGCAGGAAAAGTCGAAAGCAACCGAATCACTGTTGGGCGGGTTGTGGTTAGAAGAGACTCGGGGACATGAGCATTCCGAGTGGAAAGCCCCTTGAAGCAGAATTTCAGCGTAAATCTCGCCGCCTGTCGATGCCTCCATGCGTCGATGACGATGGGACTCGATGGGCCTTCCTCATCACACAGAGGTCTGGCGCCTGCGCCTTCACTCAAAAACTCTTGGGCAGGGACCTGCACCTCCCAGAAGGGACTCACGGGGCCTCAGACTTGCGTCACGCCAAAGTCCATCACCATCTGCATCTGCAGATCTTGGCACCCAGCTGCCATCGAAAGGACGGATACCCTCCATCCCGTCAGGGTGCCGTCAGGCCAGGGCGGCGCTCTCAGTGTTCATCGCTGGGCTCGGCCAATACGGCTGGCAGATGCAAACCATCACATCACAGGGTGTATGCATCCCACGCACGCCGGAAGCGGCAAACGGCATTGTCTCGACAATTAAGGTATAACGTTACCTGCCAGATCATGTTACGACCGTTAGGACTTGACACCAACTTCGCTTCTGCCACCTATGCCTATGTCAATAACGCTTCGATGATTCGTCAAAGCTCACAGGACCACACGAGACTCCACGAAGTTGAGGTCATGTCCGGGTCCAGACGGCAAAGCTAAGGAAACCCAGTTCAGTGAAACGCTCCCCAGGTCCACGCAAGCAGCAGGATTGATTTTTTCGCCGCACGCTCTTGCTGGATCTCTGGCGTTGTGTGGACTGCCCAAGAGCGACCCTGCGACTCTGCCCGATGGCATAAACGTGATGCAGCCAGGTGATTCTTTGTGGCTCGCTTCTTCACCTTCTTTCCTTCGATCTCCTTCGGCGTTCCTTCGCTCCTCCTTCGCGACGCCGTGAGACGCCTTGAGACGCTTATCTCTTCGAGGCGCTCTTGCGCCGACACTTCCGCAAGCGTCCAACTGGAGTCTCCTCGGTCAAGCCGTGGTCGTCTGCTTCACTGCGTCTGAGTCATCAGGGCAAAGCATCTGAAGCTGCCATGTCCTGCACAGCTTCAGGCTTCCCACCCTTACAAGGCTCTTGGGGTTTGGAGGCTAGGTAGGGACTTTAACCACTCCTCGACCGGATGAGTTGCCGCCCTTGCTGACATGCTATTCCACGAGGAAAGCAGATCTTCAAGCCAAGCTCTAAGATGCACAACTTTCTACGGCACTAGTGAAGCTAGCTTGATCAGCTCCACAGCATACATTCCGACGTGCACGACTGGCTCCGTGGAGCATGGCCGCTGCGAAAAAAACAGCCATTGAGGAGGCTTGCCCGGGTCGTCCCCTATTCCACCACTGCAGCTCGACAGCGAAAGACGCTGTACTCCATGCCCACCCGTCTCTGTTGAAAAAGGGTTTCAGTCCAACCTAATGTCAATCTCAGACTAAGGGTTGCAATGACTGTGATGTTTTCGAGTCTTGCAAGTAAACTGCAGCATAATCGCTGTACGTGCGACTGATGTCACACATCTCAAACAGCATCGACGCGACACGAAGGAGAAGCTCCAAACACTGTGCACATGGTCAGAGTGTCAAGCCGAAGCCGTCGCGATAAATGATGCTTCGATTCAGAGTGTTGGCGACAAACGAATATGACTGGCTGGATGAGTCCGGGTCATTCCGGCGAAATATCTGGCACTTGGGCCAATAGCAGTAAATGTTTGGGCTCATGCAGCACCCGAAATGCCCCTTTTCACTTGGGCCTTGGGGCGGGCGGGCGGGTGCTACCTGAAACAACTGCGCGTGGCACACCTGCCTGCTCCTGTTCGCCATGCTTCTCGGTTTCAGTCGTGATTGCCGCAGACTTGTCTGCCAGGAGGTCCTTCAGTGGCCAGGCTCACTCCCAAGATGCAAGGTCATCCCAAGGTCCCAGGGCGCGACTATTGCTGCCGCTACATACTGCTCGGCAGTGCGAGATAAAAAGAGCTCAGGACGAGAGCGCGAAAGTTAGCACTAGCAGCACGGGCTCGGTGACGTGGTCCTCGGGATCTTCGGCTCGTGCGGCCTCAAAGCGCGAGACACACGACACAAGGAGCGTGGCCGGCTGGCCTCCAGTCGCGGCCTGGGCCTCGACCGTCGGACCCGTCGGACTCGTTGGACTCGTTGGACCCCTTGTCGGACTGGAAGTCTGCGAAGGCTGCGAAGTGTCGGTGTCCAGCGCCTTGGCCGAAGCTCAGCAACGAGGCGCCGCGCCTGCCGCGCCGCGCCGTGCGCCCTGCGCCGCTGGGCTCCCTGCCGTGCGCTGGGAAGGCATGGAAGGCCTCAGTTTCCGGCTTTGATGCCAGCGCCAGAGCAAAGGGGTTTTTCCAAAGTGTCCGAGTCGCTCCGCAGGCTCCACAGCGCCTCCTGCAAGGCTCGGAGAATCCAAGCTTTCGGCTTCGGGCTTGCGTTGGCTTGCTGCTTGCAGTTTGTCAGTTTGTTTGCTTCTATCAAAACCTACGACTACTTGATAATACTGGTCACCGGGTCTTTCACGTGTGCTGATCGTCCTCAAGTCTAACTAGTCTTCTGCTGAGCGATTCTGACCCATTTTTGGAACCTGCAAACCAGAAGAAGACGCGGGACCCTGACTTTCACGTCTCGTCCTTGCACCCCCTCATCGGCTGCACGTAGGGCAGCATTCACCTCTCGAACGTCGCGCAGCAGCTCCATGCGACGCGTCTCAAACACCTGCAATGGGGGCGGCTTAAGCCGGGAGGGATTCCAAAAGTTTCTCTGACAAGTCACCGGCTAAAGGCAA